TTATGATTAATTTTCTATTGGAATAAATTCATAATACAAAAGAATAATGATATACTCTAGCATAATAAGTTCTTTAAAACAACGATGACATTGATTGATTTAGAATAATTTATTATAAACATAAGACTACATTGATATTCTACGAACATAGAATATTATCATAATACATGATGTGAAAGTAGATATACGATATTCTCTTCTTTCTTTTAACTATTTAGGTGATCATAGTAATTATCATAGATAAAAACATGAGAGAAAAAAAGATTCTTCTTAACAAATTTGAAGTTTTGAAACAGATTAATAACTATTCATATTAGTTGAGAATAAATTACTAAGTCGTTGTTATTCTATTCTTAATATTATCTATCTTATACTATTCCTTTCATTATCATTTTCTTCAACATAGAAGATACCAAATTAGTTTTAACTTACTCCTATAGAGGATAATTGTAAAAGTTTTTTTTGGTCATATGTAAGGTTTTCATTTTGCATTAAAATATATGAGCTACATTCTATCACATCACTATTGAAAACCAACATATGCCAAAAAATAATGCTCTAGTATAGAAAGTCTAAATCTACGATTATATGAAATACATAGATTCTCTTTTTAGTAAAAATTTAAGATGAATAATAATCTTGACAATCTTGATTTCATGGACAATGCAAGTATTTATACATTATCAACACCAAATGAAAATAATTCATTTATTCTTATTCTATCTATACTTTTATTTATTGTTCTTTTAATTGGTTTAATTGGTAATATACTTGTTATTTATGTTGTATTAAATTATGGTCGATTAAAAACAGTTACAAATACATATTTATTACATTTAGCATTATCCGATCTTGTTTTTTTAAGTGGTGTACCATTTTTTATATCATCAATTATAACACGTTCATGGATATTTGGAAGTATTGTTTGTAAAATATTTTTTTTAACACAAGGTGTTAATCAATATACATCAATTATTATCTTAGCATTATTATCATTTGATAGATATTTAGCTGTTTGTCATTCAACGAAATCAATTGTATGGCGTTCACGTGTTAATCCAAATATCCTTTTAATATTTGTATGGATATTATCATTTGTATTAATGTTACCAATTATTATATTTACATCATTACAAGAAACAGCAGCATTAGGTGTTCAATGTACAATTATTTTACCATTAGTCGAATCACGTTTACTCTATTTTATCTATGTTGCATATACTGCAACAATAACATTTTTCATACCATTAACTTTAATGATATTTTTCCATATAATGATTGTTTATCGTTTACAATATAAAATTCCTAAACAACATCGTCGTTCACGTTCATCAATGAGTACACGACGAAAAGTAACAATTTTAGTTCTAGTTGTTATTACTATACATCTATTATGTTGTTCACCATATTGGACATTTCAAATGTTTATGACAAGTGAATTATTACCACAAACAAGTGGTTTACTTATACCAACATCAAGTATAGCACAATTTCTTTTATTTGTTAATTCATCAATAAATCCGATTTTATATGCATTTATAAGTGAAATATTTCGTACAAGTTTTAAACGAGTTTTTTCTTGTTGTTTAATAACAAATAATCAAGAATTTTTACAAGAAAAAACAATTATCAATCGAAATATGATGTTAACAATAAATAAAAATAATTATTCTCAAACAAATATTACAAGAAAAATATTAATAAATAATAATAATAATAATAATCAAACAAATAATATTAATTATCGTCAATATTTATCTATTGGAACAAATCAAACTGATAGAAATTTATTATGTAGACAAAATCGTTTTTCATCATTAGCACCAACTGCTTCAATATTTGTTTCAGAAGTATCGATTGCTTCAGACATTCAAATATAGATATTGTAACTAAGATACTTTTTTTTATTTAATTATTTATAATCTGTATGAAAAATTAGTCCATTGTATTATAAATATTTAAATAACATATTTATATTTATTCTAGTATAAAAGCAAAGACGATTGATAAATATCAATGAATTTTGTGATCGTTAGGCATGGGCAAAATCAGATCGGATCGTTGAGAGTTTTTTATTTTAAGCATTGTGTCGGAATCGAAAAATTTAATTTTTTTACGTTTGGAATCGGACCGAAATTGGTAATAAGTTTTCTCAGAATCGTATCGGAATTACCTATGTTAAAATTCTATGAATTTCTACTTGTTTTTTTCGTTTACATGAAAAATATTTAATTGTTATTATTAATTAATCGGTCCTTGTTTTTTTGATTACTTTTGTAATGCTTTGAAATCATTCAAATGCAGGACAATTAATTTAAGATTTTATTTCTTAAAACAATATAACCAGAAATGGCACCGATACCAAAACTTTTGTATCTTGAGATCGGAATCGGATCGACATAAAATCTAATTTTTTAAGTATTACATAGAACTCATATAGTTTAAATTTTGTAAGCATCGGGATCGGAATCAGACTTGCCGATTCCCGATTTCGATGTGGTATCGCCCATGCCTAGTTAGAACACATATTCTCATTAGATGACGTTAAGTTTTCATCTGTTCGGATTAGCAGATATTTTCTCACACGTTAAAATATATCATAGCAGCACTCGATTAATACGGAATGTTTTATTAACTACATCAAATATAATAAATAAACCATTTAATGATTCGGAATGTCTGCATTAGTATTTTAGAAATACTAGTCATTCTTATTCTCAAACAAAATTAATTCCTGCAACTGTATCATGTAATAAATCAATTCAAGAAATGACATTCTACTGATAGATAAAGTATGCATTTGCAAAATAACAAAAATATTTCGTTCTCTATTCATTTATTTGATATAGGTATGTATACAGAAAAAAATCATTAAATACGTTTTGTTTTGTAAATGTAAAAAAAATAGTCGAACTATGTGAACCCTATTACTATTGTTTATAATTCGTAAACTAACTTGATATCAATTTATTAATTATATGATTATAATATTCTTCTATCAATTTTAGCTGAACATATTTTTAATTTAAAAATCGAATAATTAGTTCGTAAATAAACATATTTACATCTCGAATTTTCTTTTTATCATTTTAATTAAAAAAAAAATATCCTCTGTTTTTTCGTACATATCATATATAATTAGTTCGTCTTATTTTTTTGTGTCGTATATTGTTGACAAAAATGTCATGAAGACGAATATCTATAACCTATGTAAATAATTCATATTTAAATATATTGTCACATCAATAAATATTCGTATGTTTTTGCAAGATAATTATCTGATTGCCTAAATTATTGTGACGATCTAAAATTTCAACTCTTAAGAAAAAAATACAAGATTTTTATTCGACATCATTATTTTCTATTTCTAATGTCATTTGATATTTTATCTATATCAAATATTTTCTAAAAGACTTAGAAGGTACGGGACAGAACGAATTATTTGATATAAAAACAATTCTAAAATATACATATATATAAAAAAAGTACACCTAGATTCCATATAGAGTCGTTATTTTTTTATATATTCTCTTTTCATACATTCAAACCTTATGTCAACAATTAATGAAATGTCCTTGAGCGACATAAACATTTTGTATGCATATACATTTATATTTTCAATACACAAAATCAAGTGCTCTAGTGTAATCGATTATGTTACCTGTATATATGTACATGGCATTTTTCAAAAGACTAATTGCATCCTACATATATCAACAAAGAGAAAAGCAAAAAAAAGGAATGAAGCAAAAGGAGAAAAGGTTATTTTTGCATTTCAATCCCGATATTTTATTGTAAGCAAAACATGTACAAAAAAAAGTATTTTTAATACACATACCTACTTGAAAAACCTTGCAAAAAAACCGAAAATATATGTATATAAATTGAATGGCAAATATGCCGTTTTGCAGATAGAACTTAAACAGCTTGTTAAAAAATACAGCCAAGTGTCTGTTATACACACACTCCGTAGGTCAAAATAAATAGCATACTACACATATAACGATGCGGATACTTATTCTCAAGGAGAACGAGAAAAAAAAAGAAATCTGTTAAGAATAAATATCTATAGATGTGGTTCGTCAATCAAAAGCTCGTTGAAATTTCTATTTGTATAACATGTTTGTCATTTAGAGAAAAACAAAAGATATCTTTCGTTATATATTTAGCAAATCTAATTAAAATTAAAATTTATAATTGTTTGTTTTACTTTCAAACACTAACATAATATATTTTTATCTTTAATTCATATGAATACAACAAAAAAAGAAAATAAAACTATCAACAGATCATTCATAGTACAAAAAAATAATACAAAAAAGTATAAGAAACAAATATTTGAGATTATTTTTCTTTCTTTTATGAATCCATTAAGAAATCATTGAGATCATCATGGATTAATATAGATGAGAGTGATTCTGGAAAATTTTCTTGTATTTGTTCAGTAGTTAATGAATTTAAAAATGATTCAAATTCAATAGTTAATTTGTCATTTGACATTGTATCATATTGTTGAAAAGATGATGATGGAATATTTTCTAATGGTAAATAAGATGTGAAATCAAGATTTGAAGTTAATGATAAATTAGATGAATTCATAGTCGAACACATTTGTTCATGAGTAAAAAGTCGTGTTTCTAAATGTAGTTTTTTATGTTGAAGTGTCTGAACATTATTCGATAATTTTTGTTCTTGTTGTTCTAATGCAGCGATTTGGTCCATTAATTGTTGTTCAACATTTAATCGACTTACACGTACACGTTCTGCAGCAGCACGATTACGTGCACGTCTTACATTTCGTTTTTGTTCTTCTTCCGGAGTTAATATTTCATATTTTGATCGACGACCCGTAGCCAATGTTGGTGCTGGTTTTTTACGTGGTTTTACTTTAATTGGACCAAATGCAATAATTTCGTTATCATCATATGATGTACGACTATTTTCTGATGAACTAATTGAATATTGTTCAAGTTTAACAATTGAGTCAGTTGATGTAGGATATGAAACCCCAGGTTGCGATTTGTTCATACACATGAGTAGTTGATCGATTTCTAATAACTTAGATCGTATACAATGATATTGTTGTTTAGAATCTGCTTCATGACTGTCTTTTATATATTTTATAGTTTTTTTTTCGTTCTGCAGTGCGTAGGCATGAAAAAAAGAACATGCGAGAATACGACGGCTAACACAGCAGCAGAAATCTACAAAGTGACGTCATGTGACACATTTCTTTTACTTTCCTCTTTTTTTATACGTCAAGGGACAAGAGGTTGCTGCTTATCATCTGACGATGGCGACAGAAGAAAAAAAACATGTATTTTTTTCTTCTTTATAGTTATGTATGAAAAGAAAAAGTTTTTTTTATGACTCAAGAAGAAAAAACAAGCAGGATGACTCAACACAGTTTATATAATAGCGGGTGACGTCAGCAACATGACGATTTATACAACATGTGGGAGGATGACTTGAATTTCTATATCTTTTAGAATATATATTACATATATAATTTCATTCCAATTCGATAATTATTGGAAACAATTCAAGCATGTACATCTTGTATATTATCATAGTATGAGAAATCTTTTATTGAGACATAGATGTTGTCGAATGTACTTACCGTCAATCTAAAATATATATTTTATATAGACAATGATGAAAACTAAAAGAGATCAACTTTTCACTATCAACATGTACAAGAAGCTAATGCTTCTAGTATTTTTTCAGATTATATCATTAGATAACATTATTATAACATTGATATCATTGAATAGGAAGCAGCAGAGAGAAATTCATTCTTAGTTTATCATAGATAAAATATGAAGTTACATTTCAAGGATAATAATTCATATAAATTGATCGATGAGCCAATATATAAATAAGAATGATTTCGAAGCTAAATATAAGTATCATGCGAATCCAATAAGTTTTTTATATCCAGTAAATGATAATATGATCAGTGATATATATACATATATATATGCTTTAGATAAAACGTTATTCAAAATGAAAAGTTAGAGTTGAATATAAAAAAAAAGGATTTATCATATTCAACTTTAAATTTTGCCTACAACATATACATCTATGGTTATATGAACTGACAAAATACTATAGATCTATCGAATTGTATTGTTGATTTCGTTCATAATATGAATTTAATCATTGGAATTACCTGAAAATAATATATCGACGATTTTCTAAATAATTTCTTCATATAACCATAGATTTTTCTTCAAATTCTTCATTTATATAATTACAAATCATATGAGATATGACTGTTAATAATCATCATATTCCAATTAAGATACATAGGGATATGTCTGGACTGTTCTTAATTGCCGAGAGTACACAAAGGATTATGTCTGGTTCGTTTTTTGTTTTTTTTTCAAATGATTGTATACTTCAACAAGAAAGCCTCTCATTTTTCGATACAAAAAAGCTTTCGTCATGATCATTCATACATACAGTTACGAATAAACATTACTC